TACGGTGCAGGGGGACCCTGCCTCCACCGTTGCTGGAGCTTGCATGTATGGAGCATTGCGAATATAAAATATCTACATTAGTAAATTAATAAAGTCATAATTGATAGACCGTTACGGTATCTATATATATTCGGATGAAAGTAAGTATCGCAGTAAGGACGAGTATATAAAGTGATCAACATAATTAATTGATTTTTGGAATATATTCAGAGCCAAAAAGTCTTTGTGTATACCAAAAATTTAGCCGTTCGGAGCCATTCAGTCACGAATTATTAGTAAAAAAAGTGTCGAGTATATCGTACTATCGACGAATATATATGGCCGCATCGCAAAATAGAATGCGACGTTGCCATACCGCCTGAGATATACGCAATAGAGTTCAAGTTATTCAGTGCAAAAGGTGGAATCAGCAAGTGTTTAGGTTGTGGCGTGATCAACAAAGTGCCCAAAGAGGTGTTTATATATATATATATATATATACTCTTTTGTCTTTTGCTAAAGTCTCTGGTAGGGGACAGTAAAATCCTCGAGTGGCTGTTCAGCAGTGGACGTCTTCCGGGCTGAGATGGTTAAAGTCTCTAGTCAAATTGAGAATAGATTAATATTGTTTCTCTTTAATATTATTTGTCCATAGTATTTATGAACATTACTCACAGTACATTTATGAAAATATTATGTATACAAGGAAAAATTTAGATAGTTTCAAGAAACTTAAAGACTGTACAAATAGAAACTTACGCAATAAAAATAAGCTAATTTTACCTAAATGTCGTCTACACAAAGTTAGAATTGATTATGGTCGAAGTTCGACTAGGCAACTAGTATATGATATCGTAACTATATGTAGATAGTTTTATTATACATTAGGACGTCTCGATTCACTTTTAATACAGACAAAAGAGTTCCAGACACACCATCACGTAGGTATTCGAATAAAATAAATGGTTTGTACGATTAAATCGTCACTCGGAATTCTCGCAGCGAATCGAATTACAAGTGAACGTGTGGGTATCGAAGGGGAGAAGTAGTAAAAGGCATGTGGACATTATCTGATGATGATGATGATGATACAGTCTTTGGTATGATTAATCTATGATGTTCATAACGTACTCTGTGTATTTCTTAGAATGAGAGTCTGCATTGTAAAATGGCGGGAACTGTCGAATGAAATGTGTAGCGTGAATTAACTATTTATTTATATTTATATTTTAATACAGTACAATAATGTATTGCGACGCATTTAACAATATATGAGTTACAAAATTTTGTAAATAAGATATATATAGAGTAGACAAAACAATTTTTTTATATATCTATAGTACTGTTATGCCCGAGCCCAGTACAGAGAAAATGCTGAGCCATGCATAATTTCCGATTTACATCGTTATATAAAAACAGTTTAGATAGTTAGTCAAATCAGTCCGCGTCGATAACTCATTTCAGTTGCACCTACATAGTTTGGGATATGTTTGTTAATATAATAACTTGTGAAACCACATTTTCGAAATAAACTATCTAAAAGTAAGTGACTTTTGTGTTGTGTTTTAAACAGGTTTTTTTTTTTAAACCCAAACGGGGTCAGCCGCCTAACAGTACCATAGTATATGCGTGCTGGGCCCATAACCTTTTGAAAATAAGATATTTATGCGGTAGAATAATATAAAATTATTTAATATAAAATTATTTACATTGGCAGTAGAAAATTACTATCTAATACAAAAGTGACTTATCCTATAAAAATATGCAAAAGCTTCTTTCTTTGATGGCCAGCATTACAATTTCAACACATAATGATTAACTAATTGAAAACCTAAACCGTTGTCGTATAGTCAAAAAAATACTAATAATAATTTCCAAATTTAGCTACAGTATTTTTCATAATCAATATGTGTTTTGTATTCATTGCAATATTAAATTGTCATTAATTAAAAAACTCATCAATAGAATAAAAGCATTTCTTCAAGAAATATTTTTTAAGCTTGTTTTTGTGTTTATTAAATATTTTTAACTCTCTAATAATTGTTAATATATATATATAATAATTATATATATGTTTTTATAATAATATATGTTTAATATTTATATTTAATAATTATAATGTTTATATAATATAATAATACTGGATTGATTAGACAGCAATGTCTATTGACGAAAATAGTAAATGAAAACTCACCACAAAATATTTACATATATTTATCACAAGCTTAATAGGAAAAAGGTAATAATAAAAATCTGTATATATAAAATTACGAAATCCATAGAATCGGTAGTCGATAGATTTACCACATCGCCTTACTTCCGATAGTTGCAGGTTCGATTCCTCATACGATACAAATATTTGTATCTGTATAATTGTTTATATCGATCTGGGAGTTTTCTATATATAATATGTATATATTTACAAAAAAATATTTGTATCAGTAGTGTAGTACTCATAACACAAGCTTTAGTTAGCTTAACTTGGCTCTAGATGGCGCTGTGTGAATTGTTCTGAGCTTATTATTATCTTTGGGCCACAATACTCTCTAATAATTAAATAACAACAATATTACTTGAACAAAACTAAACAGAATCCAACAGAAATAAACTTACAACACGTTTATCTTGCTGTTCTTTGTATTCTTTTATTCGCAATGCTGAAAGTTATTTTCCCACACTACAACCTCCATTGAATCCTATACCAACGGAATAAGGTACAAAATAACATACTACGTTTGGTTGTGAGACATAGAATCCCTGATATATGGGTAAACATTCCAAGACGATGTATAGGGAGGAATGAACATGAATATAGTAATAAGTAAACATAATCGAGATAAAGTTCCCATGTGAGTTCGCGAAGGCTGGTTTACACTAGCGTAGTAGTTGCCGGACAGTAACTAAAGATAGTCACTATCCACTAATTATATAGGTATATAAGTACTAGCTGTGCCCGTGACTTTCTCCACGTGGAAAATACCTTGGCCAAATAAAGAAAGTGTATGTAGTTATTGATCTAACCCAAAAAATCCGAAGAAAATAGTTCATCGTTACAGCTTCAAAAATGACGAATGTCCATACTAACTTTCATCCCCTATTTTATTTTATCTCCTTAACGGTAATATTTTTACAAAATTTGAATGTCATATTTATTTATATTTAATCAACAACCTAAGAAATAAGTAAATAATACAATCATTCATCTCTCTTTTCATTTAAAAGGAACATATATCCTTTCTCAGGGTCTAGGCTATCTGTGTACCAAATTTCATTTAAATCCGCTCAGTAGTTTCGGTGTTACAGCGAGACAGACGGACAGACCCAGTTTCTTTCGCATTTATAATATTAGTAAGGAGCAAGGGTAAGGATAACTCGTTTATACTACGTTTAAATGCTGATTACTTTCATTGTGTTCTAATAGAACAGAATGTAATTCCTTTACCATTAGAATCCTATTCAAAGGGTAAAGCAATTTTTCAGATCGGGCCAACAGTTTCTGAGCCCGTTTGATGCAAACAAACAATAACATGTTTCTTCTTTATAATATTAGTATAGTCGACATGGATTTCTAAGATCACTTTTCAAACATTGCACAAAAATAATAATAATAATAATACATCATTCCAATCGTTATGTCGGTGAACGGTCTTATCCCAACCAGTCTGGAACAACATCTCAGACGGTTGGGATTCCAGGGCGGCTCACTCCCGGGAAAGATGCAGAAAACGGTGCTGCCCGCATTGTACGCCGGTTTCTCTCCCTGGGGCCCTGAACCCCGGCCGACTGTGCTTCTGCCGGGGGTATGTTGCTCTCCTTAAGAGGGGAGATGAGAATTTTTGGGAAAAAAAAAATAATAATACAAAATTTTTACTTACCAATACTTGGAGACTTTAAATATTACATTTCGATTTTAATTGAAGAGAGAATATTTTAGAATAGGAGTAAATAACAAGATGACTGCAAACAGGCATGAATGGAAGAGAAAAACATATTACGCCGACCACAAGTAAATGTGTTAAGGAAGAAGCAGCTGATGATGACGATATTTTAATACAAATAAAATTTTCACAATACATTTCAATTTTATGACGAATATTTAATTAATTAGTACGATATCGTTTTCTGAGTGCTCTCCGGATGAACTCGAAACAATTATTGGAAAACAATAAAATAGTAAGTTCTTTAAATTGACGTCATTACGTAATGTGTATATTATCTGCGATAAATAATTTTTTATTTACAAAATGGGCGAAATTAATAATGACAAATTCCACGTTTACGCCATTTTTTTTTATTGTGAAGGATGGAGATCAAGACGAGACGAGCAAAGAAAATTGCACCGTTATAGTCGCAGTCGCAGTCCATCCAAGACTATGGCACACCTGCTGGATTGTCCTTTGTGCCCAGCATCCTGCACAAAGAAAGACCTAAGGGATGCGACGGAGTGCGCAAAGGTTGTCGCGGCGTTCTGGGGAAAATATATTTAAATATATGTATTTGGTTGCCGTTGAAACGAAGAAGAAGAAGTCCATTAGTTCGATAACCAAATAGTTAGCTGGGAAATAGAAATTATCTTTATTCAAATAAACTTAATATAAGCACTTCTGAAGAAATGTTAATTTAAATATATGCACATTAACAAGTAAATAGCATGCGATAATCTTTAAGCTTTTAAGTTATATGTAGCACAATCATTACAATTAATTTATTCCGTCATTCAAACGGGGATCGAAATTACGACGGCCTGAGCCGAGCTTCGAACCCCTCGCGGTGCCCTCAGACTACAGTCGTATCCGTCAGGCGGGAGTTGGCCTTCAGCCGCTCCATAAGTCCTTCCGCAGGTTTGGAATGCCATCTGCACTCGCCCCTTATCATCCGGTGAATCTGTGAAGGCCAGCCGCGCAATCCGAAAAAAAAGTATGAATATTCCATCATGACAGTTTAGATCTCTAACTCTAATGAAGAATAAAAATCTTGTTTTTTTTTTAATAACAATTTATTTACACAAATGAAGATTCCATCATGACAGTTTAAGCGTCGGCCGGGCATTCGTCAAGTTGAACGCATTTTTTCGTCTTCGTGTTCCGTACAGTGGGTGGTGCACAGTAACAAGCCGAGTAGTCGCAGATCATTCCAGTACGTGTATCTTGAACTGGCTTAGGGTCCTCGCAGGTGGCTTCTGGAGTTAAGAAGCCACAGCCGACTGAATATCCATAGGTACCTTCCTCGCATTCCTGTGCACCTGAAATATTGTTTTTTTTATACTGGCCTATTTTTTTATATTACCCGGCGTTTCACATACATATTTATCTATGTGTTATTCTAAGTAGAATAATAATAATAGTCACTTATAATACAGGTTAAAAATATTAAAAAAAAACACTTATATCTAATATCGCGCTATGAGCTGAAAGGGCCTCCCAGTCCACTCAGCTAGTGCCGCAGCGTGTCACTGCAGCGCTAACTTTCAGTGGAGCCTTTTTTTTTCATTCTTGACATTATTGACTCTAAATATATAAAACGAAGAGTAAGTTAAACTATATATCAAATATAGTATGTACATGTAAAGTATAGGATATACAGACACATTAGTACACTTCAGTGATAATACATATTAACGATAATACTTCAACAAAATTGACAAACCGCCATCTAGTCTCAAAACCCAATCTAAGCAAAGCTTGTTTCATGGGTACATAGACAACTGATATAAATAGTTTTTTTGTAAATACATATTGTATATAGAAAATACACGGACCAACACAATCATTATCATACATACAAATGTTTGTACCCTAGAATAAATTCGAACCCACTACAATCTGAAGTAAGGCGGTATGCTACACCACCGAGGCCATTATTGTACCAAGATAGGGTTGCCATGCCATTCGTCCGGATTTCACCGGATTTGTCCTAGTTTAAAAGGCGTCCGGAGAGCGTCCGGGATAATGTCATGTTTTTAGGTTTAATATTAAAGTATATTAATAAGTTATGTTTTATTTAAGAACAAAAAAATCGAACTGATTATTAAAACAAAATTTAACAAACTGGAATAAGTTTGAAAATAAATAAAAAGGTGATTTATGACATTTTTTAACTGTTTTATTCCACTGACTATGTTTAAAAAACCTGTTGATATCCGGGTTCTGGACTCTAGAATCCGGGGTTTTCATGCTTCTTGTCCTGGGTTCCAAATTTTAGAGATGGCAACCCTATACCATATGTTATCTGTGCCTATACCAAGGATTTCACATGATAACATGATGTATGTGGTGGATGCAGGTGACGGTAGCCACTTACGATGAGCTATCCACTTGTTTACCATTCTAGACACATAAAAATATACTCGTATTATATCTTTTATTTCCATTCATATAAGGAAAATAATTTGAACAAGTGTTTGAGAACAAAAAACAAACTTACAATGATGTCATGACGTGATCGCAAATGAAACACGAAAACCAAACATTCGATTATTATTTACTGAATAATTGTTAAACAAACAATACCATAGTCGAGCTGTCGAATTAAGTAAATCCACGTTATTGCACCGAGTATGACGAAACAAGTTTTTTTATGTAATCAAAATGGTAAACAAGCTGTTTCATGATATACACCTGATGGTAAGTGGTAAAAGTGAAGTTAAAACATTCAATAATAAGAGAATAAAATATTTGCATCAAGAAAAAGAGTATTGAATATTGTAACAAAGAATTTTACTATTTTGTAGCAACATTATTAATGTAGTTAAAAAGGTTTTAACACGAATAATTTTATTTAAACTGAACCATCGACTAAGTTGCAATAGCTGTTCACGAGCTGACTGGAGTGCGAATAGGTAAATACCTTTGACCTCAAAGTTCTCCCTGGAAACCAACGTGGTAAATAACTATTTGATGGGCTAACTGACCTGACTGCATTATCATTATATTAACCACCACAGATCCACCAGCGTAAACCGTTGGCGTAAGCGGGTGCTCATCATCATTCCATTTGATAATCCATAAAAAATCTATTTATCTTTTTTAAATCGTATTTCATTCACATTTCGCCAGTTTGAGATGTCAATTTGTTAACACTATCCCTACCATCCGGTTTGGTTAGATACTTCAGTTAAAAATAAACTCAATTGGTACATTTTTGTATATAAAGAATTAGTTACTTTTCACTGGGAGAACGCTGCTAGTATCTTCGGAACCTTGCCTAAATGTTTCCTTTTAATGATATATTTTAGTTATTACTATATTTTTAAGGTTTTTAGTTTTAGATTCATTGTTATAGTATATATTTTTTATTACTGTCAAAATGCACGTCACAACATTTTTGTATAATACTTTTTATCAATTTCAATGTTTAAAAAAATAACTATCAGATGGCAATTGTAAGTAGCTATGACGTGGTCTAGTGTCTTGAGTAGTCAAGCTCACTAAAATGTTCAGACTTGTGGCGGCGTGGTGGGCTGGGTCATTGGTCTCCCTATAATATGGTCGAGCCCAGTGATGGCTGGTTCATCCGTCATACTCGGGAACGGGTGCTGCTTGTAGGGACTGGTCTGCTATAATCACTATGACTGATTTCCTCTTATTAATTGTTTAACCAGTTGGTTGTATACTTAATATTTTTTCTATTTGAGTATTTAATTGTATTAGTGCTAATTGGTAGTTTGTAATCACACACTTACACTTAAAAATGTAAAGTTACAATAAAATTATTTAAAAGACCAACACGCAAGTTTCTTGCTCGTTCTTTTTGTGATGAGACAGCTTTCCGAATGAGCGGTAGATTATTTGAATAAAAGATTTTCTATTCTATTCTAACATAGCGTTCAAACAGTGTAGTGTATGTCTAAGATATTTAAATATGGGAAATCCCTTATCCGAACAACTAATGGCAGTCAAGGTTATCTTATAAATAGTCGTTTGCAGCGTAATAAGCTATATGACGGCCTCGGTGGTCTAGCGGTTTAGAACACCGATGGTCGCGGGTTCGATTCCTCGATACAAATATTTGTATTCATGAGTATGGTTGTTTGTATCGGTCTAGGTGTATATTAAGTGTATTATGTATGTACTTAACAAAAATTTCTAAGAATTTATATTAGTTGTCTAGTACCCATGACACAAGCTCTGCTTACCGTGAGACTAGATGGCGCTGTGTAATAGGTGATGATGATAATGGGATGGTGTATCCATCAGCGCTAACGGTTTAAACTGGCAAGGCACAAGTGAATAATAATATCATGAGTACAAGTTAGTTTAGCCGATTGTGATAAATACACCAGGAATTTATTAAGATAGTTTCCAAGGGGAACCACACTAAGGCCAAACAGACATGGTACATTGCCAGCATTGGGTCTACTATCCTAATTCCTGACAATTTGGGTATATTAGTTTATATAATACTAGCTACTCGCCACGGCTTCGCCCGGGTGTACATGTCTTATACACATAAACCTTCCACTTGAATCACTCGTATCTATTAAAAAAAACCTTCAAAATCCATTGCGTAGTTTTAAAGATTTAAGCATGGAGACGGACAGACAACGACAGCGACTTTGTTTTATACTCTGATATATTTTCTTATACTTACATCGTCCTAATATATAGATGCAACCTCGGGAATGCACTTTAGTTTCTCCCACTGCTAACCCGATCAAAGCGAATGCACATAAATAGAATAGGCTCTTCATATTGATATTTAGTTTTTTAAATGAGTCGTATAACACCACTTCTCATGAAGAGACGACCTATCTTACTGACCCGGTAACATTTACACTATCTGCTTATATTTACAACAAGATTTCGAGAGTGTTTACTTATACATAAATGCTATTGATTAACTAGAATTCCCATTAGGCGATAATTTGACATTAAATTTAGTTTTAATAGACTTAATTATTACTAATTAGATTAGCACTTGAGAAGTATATAAGAATAACGGTAATAAATTATAGTAAATAGAAATAGAAGTAAGCTACTCATTACAAGAAGAACAAGAAAGAAATTTGCGCGTTGCTCTTTTAAAGAAATTGTTTAAAATTACAATACATTTTTAAGAATTTTGTAGTCACAAACTGCCAAATAGCAAAGTTGATATAAATAAATGAATTATTACTTGAGTAACCCGTTCACGAGTATGATAGCTTAAAGTAGTCAACTCGCCGATCAATCTGATGATGAAATGGCCGCGTGGGGCCGCCCCTACAGTGGACCTAACTGTGGTAGGTACTTTTATATTTTTATACACTTAAATTGTGGAGTGAGAATTTCCTGCCGAGGTTTTCTCAGGAGACCACAGCGTGGGGTTTTTCATGAAGGGTATGGTCATAAACATCAGCACTGGTATTCTGTAAGCGTTTTAAAACTCATTTCACTCGTCGCTTCACTCTTATCCATCTGCAAATATAAAATTCCTACTGAACTAATTATATGAGTTTGCTTATATTTATAAAACAATCGCTAATGCCTACGGCCACCTTTTACCATCGCACGGCTCGCCGTCGACAGGGAATTCATTCCCACACGTTTGAACCTAAGTAGTCTCGGACAGTGCGGTTTCAGAGGAGCTTCCTCCTGTGTACACTTAGATTGTGGAATGAACTTCCTGTCGTTTTCTCACGAGACTACAGTATGGGGGTTTTCAAGAGGGGTATATTAAGGTTTCTTAAGAGTCGGCAACGCGCACGTGACACCCCTGGTGCCTCAGGCCTCCATCGGCTACAGTAACCATTTACCACCAGATAGGCCTTAAGCTTGTTTGCCACCATAGTAGTATAAAAAAAACGCTTGTTTTACTTCTATCCCGTTCTCGAGCATGTGGCGCTGCAGTCGCTATCGAGTTTTACAGAATACCAATGTGGAATTTTTACAGCAGACCCTACAATCAGCACCCGTTCTAAACATATGTATGACAGTTCAGAGTAGTCAAAGCTTAGTTCTCCAGAATTACACCGAATAATTACATAAGAGGACCATGGACGAAACATGCGAGGTCACGACATGAGATGTATGTTGTTCATATATACCGGATGCCCAGCCAAATACGGCGAGATTAACATGGTATAATTTAATAAAACAACAAAAATAAATAGAATACAAATAGAATAGAAAAACATTTATTGAAATAAACTTAATTTAAGCACTTTTGAATAGTCAACAATTTCTTTTAAATCTACCGCTTTTTCGGAAAGCTGTCTCATCACAAGAGGAATGCAAGAAACTTGTGTATTGCTCTTTTAAACAATCCTTGTAAATTCACATTTTACAAGTCGAAACGTGTTAATACAATAACAAATAATTAGCTTAAATAATTAAACATGCTATCCAAGGTCACAATTCCATGTGGACGAAGTCGCCGGCACAGCCAGTGTAAAATATTTTTTTTTTTGTAAATTTTAGTTTATTTACATGTATGATATTCCATCATGACAGTTTAATCGTCGGCCGGGCATTCGTCAAGTTGAACGCATTTTTTCGTCTTCGTGTTCCGTACAGTGGGAGGTGCACAGTAACAAGCCGAGTAGTCACAGATCCTTCTAGAACGATCCTGAACTGGCGTGGGGTTCTCGCAGGTGGCTTCTGGAGTTTTGAAGCCACAGCCAAGCGAATATCCATAGGTACCTTCCTCGCATTCCCGTGCACCTGAAGAAATATATTTTTATTATTATTATAAAACTAGTGTTGTACCCGCGGTTTCACCCGCAATACAAACAATCATAATCATCCTTGACTAAATAAAGAAAATATATTTAGTTAGATTATAACCCAAAACCGTTTCATATTTCTACTTAAAGAATGACGATACTTTCATACAATCTTTCGTCCCCGCTTTCAACCCCTTACAACCCCTTTTTCGCACTAAAAAGTAACATATGTCCTTTCTCAGTATCTAGACTATCTATGCACGATATCTAATTTAAATCGGTTTAGTAGATTTGCCAATCTTCTTCCGAATACATTCCTTCACCAATTTATAGCGATAAATAAAAAAATTCAGGCGTATTAGTATTTTCTGCTCTCCGCACCTTTTTGTTCCCTGCTAAGTGCATCTGTGTGATGTGTCGGCAATGGATTGAGATCGTTTAAGCAAGCTTTAATCTCATTGTCCCTTGTTCCTCCTCTCAGAGTTCTATGAACCGCCTCTACTACTTTTCGATGTTAAACAAACTACCTGCTCCACGTCATCCACCTGATGGTAAGCGATAAATTCAATAATAAGAGAATAAAATATTTGCAGTCAGAAAATGGTATACTTCTGATAGTCGCGGGTTCGATTCCTCGCAGTGTGCAAATATTTATGTTCATAAGTATGATTTTTTGTATCCGTATGTATGTATTCTACGTATATTATGTGTATATTTACAAAAAAACAAATATGTAAGTATTTATATCAGTTATCTAGGACCCATAACACAAGCTGTGCTTATCGTGGGACTATTTACTAGAAATTGACAGATTGATAGATTCCAGGGAGCACTGCGTGGAGGTCGACCTGATATTGTTAACAATGGGGCTACTATCCTTATTTACAGAGATTAAGTCCGTAGCTGTTTCTATGTTGATTGTCGCATGCCTAATCCTTGTTGTTAATTAAATATAAGTAAATCAACACACAAATTTCTTGCGAGCGGTAGAATAAAAAAAGTTGATTATTCCAAAGTGCTTATATTAATTTGAATAAAGATTATTTCTATTTCTATTTCTGATGATTCCTATTTGGTTATGTTAGTTTACACAATATTTATTATACTTACATCGTCCTACTATATAGATGCAGCCTCGGGGATAAAGATTAGTTTCTCCCACTGCTAACCCGATCAAAGCGAATGCACATAAATAGAATAGACTCTTCATTTTGATATTTAGTTTTTTAAATGAGTCGTATAACACCACTTCTCAAGCAGAGATGACCTAACTTACTGACCCGCTAACATTTGCACTATCTACTTATATTCACAATAAGATTTCCAGAGTAATGTTTACTTAATACAGATATGCTATTGACTAACTAGAATTCCCATTAGGCGATAAATTCAAATTAAATTAAATGTTAATAGACTTAATTGTTACTAATTAGATTAGCTCTTGAGAAGTATTTAAGAATAACGGTAATAAATTATAGTAGCTAGAAATAATCTGTTTATTAATTCAAATAAACTTGATACAAGTATTTTTGAATAGTCACATTTGTTTTATTCTACCACTCATTTGGAATGCAAACTCATTACAAGAAGAATGAAGAAACTTGTGTGTTCCTCTTTTAAAGAAATGTTATTCAGAATTACATTTTTCTAAGTTTTGTGTGAATACAAACTGCCAAATTGCAAAGTTGATATAAATAAACGAATAATAACTTGAGTAAGAAAGTAAACCAGTCCCAAGCAAGCAAGCTTAAAGTAGTTAACTCGCCGATCGATCTGATGAGGATCTGCCCGTGCGGGGCCACCGCTACAGTAGACCTAACCACTGTACTATTATATTTTTACTCACTTACATTGTGGAATGAACTTCCTACTATAACATGGGTTTGCCTATATTTCTAAAACAATCACTAGTGCTTGTTTTACTTCCGTCCCGCTCTCGAGCGTGTGGCGCTGTAGTCGCTATCGAGTTTTACAGAATACCAGTGAAATGAAATGAAATTTGAAATTTATTTGTTATAAAAGTAGTACATAATAGGTGGTAGGGATACATAATAGATAGTAATGTACAATCTCACCGCGGATTCCGCTTTCGAATTCCTAAGTGATGCTTACAGAATAGCTCTACAGCAGACCCTACAAGCAGCACCCGTTCTTAACATATGTATGACAGTTCAGAGTAGTCAAATATTAGTTCTCCAGAATTACACCGCATGAGAGGACCATAGACGAAACATGTGACGTCACGACATAAGATGTATGTTGTTCATATATACCGGATGTCCAGCCAAATATGGTGAGATTAATATGTTATTATTTATGAAGACATAGAAATAATTATGAATATGTATTCGTCTTAAGGAGGAGAGACAGATATTTTTATTACTTAATGCATTTATATTATTTTGTTTAATTCCGCTACAATTAGTATGTGTGAGACCACAAATTTTTTTCATTATTCAGTGCGGAAACTTGACTACCTATGACCTTCTCTAATGGTGATCAAATTCCGACTGTTAATGAGTCTACAAATACAAGACAATATAATGTAATTGCGGAATTAAACAAAATAATATAAATCCAATATGTAGTGAAATGGACTTCCGCAAAATTACACCTAATTCGATCAAAAATATATTTTTATTTTTAAACCAACACGCTAATATTTATTACAATACATATAATAATAATTATCATGGACATTACACACAACACTATCTAATCCCAAGCTAAGCAGAGCTTGTGGTATAGATAATAAATAAACAGGCTCTAAAAAAATAAAAACAAAAAGAATTCCAGCTGAGTTTCTGGCCAGTACTTCTCAATTGAATCTGTATATCAGTATATAAATTCAATTGAGTAGGGAAAAAATAATATAAAAAAAAAAGTTCATAAGCAGCTAAAATATCCTAAAAAATGAAATTCTGTTGAATTTCTTGTCCGTTCTTCTCAATTAAATTTGTATAATGAACTGGATGGTAGGGTAAAATATCCTACATGAGTAAATTATTTGTATTTGTTCTGATTTGGAAAACTGATAGAATTGCACAAATTATTTTTTATTATATAAAAAATTGCAATGAAACACTTTAATATGGCAATTCTTGCCTTGTTTCTTGCTCTGTATGTTTACATTGTACACATTAAACTGTATTTACTATAGTATATTATGTATAATGTATGCGCTGAAGTCATTATTGATATAATCTATTGACAATGACCTACAAGGTCGCTGTTTATAAATTTCAACTGATTTGAAATAATTAACACTTTTGTTTTTTCTACTCTCTGTTTATTTAGGAGTTTAAGATTAGTGGCGGTCTTACCCATTTCGAGGTTTCGGGCTTTGCTAGACCCTCTGTCCCAGGTGGAAAATATGTGATGCGAACTTTAAATCATAAATTGATTTAAAGTTTAATTAAAGTCTTTTTATTAAAGCTTTCCGAAAGAAAATATGTACAGTATATGTATAAAAATATATATAATAGGATATATACATATCCTATATATATAATAAACGTATAATTTAAAAAGATATGTAAAATGGGCGTAATATGTGATAAATGTCATGTAAGTGTGATGCAGACAAAATTGCGCGAGTCAGCTGGTATGTACATAAAATCTAAGACAGTCTCAATGGTCTAGCGGTTAAGCACACTGCTTTCCTTCGGATGGTCGCGGGTTCGATTCCTCGCAAGGTATAAACATGTGTTCATTAGTTTGATTGTTTGTATCGGTTTGAGTGTTTTCTATCTATATTATATATGTATTTACAAAAAATACATATATCTAAGTGTTTATATCAGTTGTCTAGTACCCATGACACAAGCTCTCCTTAGCTAGGGACTAGATGGCGCTGTGTATATTATCCAGTATCTATATATTTATGCATTCGCCGTCAATCACGACAGTGCTCCTGTCTACCCTATATAGGATTGCAGTCGTAAGCATTGCTATTTATTATGAATATAACATCACAGACCTCCGTCATTTATATACTAAATACTAACCCATTTAGTACTAATAATATCCGATCTAGATCCCGTTACTAAAGTCCGACACCGTACGGGTGAAAATACCGGTATTGATAAAAAACTTGTTATACAACAAACTGATTGTGGCCAGTAGTCGGGAGGGTTTATAAGCGGAGCGATGTGCTGAGCGGAAATAGTAGGATACTCTTTTGGACATTAAAATATTGTATCTAATTTACTCTCTTTTACAATTTTTTATTTAGAATTATATTGTTTAGAAATGTTATTTAGGCTCATTGTGTATGTAGAGCCAAAAGTACTATAAAAGCCAGCGAAGCTGCTCTCTCTCGAAGCTTGTTGATACCATTATTACGCTTCTTGCAGCTACCTCACTGTTCCGTGGATTTAGTATATTGTTAGTCTGATTCACCATAGAAAGGTAAAAAGTTATATTCTAAAAGCTATCCAGTCCCAAAGTTTGACATCTGCTACATATACATACATTTTTTTAATATTTAAATGTACATGTATATATAACCATACACCAATGCAGAAGAAGATTCCTTTCTATGAATATATTTTATTTATTTAAATAAATAATAATTATTTCGTAAATAAAATGAAATCTTTAAAAACTTTATTAAGTTCTATTGTTACATAAGGTTACTTTGAGCAAAATTTCATTTCTGTAGATCAGCGAGTTTCGCCTGAATTCTGAGCCGTCTAAACATATTTTACAGATTCTAATACAGATGTCCAAAAATTAAGAACAAAATATAAAAGAAAATACTAAATTAATTAAATTAATATAGAACAGTTAGTTAGTTAGTATAGTTAATATAAAATAGTTTTCGTCCAAAAAAAAATACTAATTATAAATCAGCAACCATTTTCAAGATTTTCTTCATTTTATGTTACTACTGGATAAAATTCCAAGACGGACTTCTACTGCCTACTGAATAAGAAATTCTCCAATAAACATAATAGTGAGTAACAAAGTAAGAAGTAAAAGCAATGAGAGGAAAGATACACTCCAAGTAAACGCTCGTTTCGTGGCTCCGCACGCAATCATGAACTAGAATGCTATTGTTTAAACACACTGACACAGTTTGACCATCAAATTCTCTAACAGCTGAGTATACGGGTATTTTGACATGTTCAATGCAATAGTACTTTATAGGTACCTACTATACTAATGATAAACACACAAAATCGTCTAGAAACATCTCTTACCACGGGCGTTACAAACTAATGTGATGTCGTACTTATTATTTATATTGATGACGATTGCCATTTCTTATAATTCGAATGGCAAATAAGTTGACGGTACGCATGATGGTAAGCGGTGACCATTATTCAATAGCTACCAATGTACTAAATCAGGTTGACATCCACGCGGTTCTCCCTGAAATATATAGTGAATTTCACAGTGGGCTATCTGACCTGACTTCATGCTTATCCTATCATCCTCAACTGATACCCCGCCAGCATATGCCGTTAGCGCAGGCAGGTGCACCACATAACAATAATCATACAACCATAATAATCCATTAAAAAAATATCTTGTGCCTACTAAATATGTATGTTTAGAAGAAGAAAAAAGAAAACATTACAAAACAAAACATTTAACATTTCTTTAACTCCGATTGCTTTGAGCTCCTTCGAATTGCTACCTCTTTGGTGCACCGGTTTAGTACCATAAAATATGACAGTTAGGTCTCACCAGCCCAGTGGTCTAGCGGTGTAGCTTCCTCCTCCACGTTCCTCGCACTGTACAAACATTTTGAATTCATGAGGGGATTGTTCATATCAATTTGGATGTTTTCTATGCATATACATTTACAAAAAAATTAACTAAGAATTTACATCATTTGTCTAGTACCTATAATACAAACTCTCCTTAGCTTGGGACTAGATGGGCTTTTGTGTATTGTCCATGGGAATTATTATTATTTTATGGTTTATGGTGAGGAGTTTACAAACTATTTGATGAGCATTAAACTCACAGCTAGTCTTTTAAATAATTTATTTGATCATTACATAAAATAAAGTCGCTGTCGTTTGTCCCTATGTACTTAAATCTTTAAAACTACGCCACGGATTTTGAAGCGGTTTTTTTAAAAGATAGACTGATTCTAGAGGAAGGTTTAGATATATAATATATGTACACCCATGCGAAGCCGGGGCGAGTAGTTAGTAATTTATAATTGTAAAAATGTAATAATTGTATATAAAAATTATAGTAACGGCAACACTATCGTGACAAAGGTACGATGTCGCAGGCTCAACTAGTTTAACGATAAAATGGCGAATGAACTAAATTGCAGTACTATATAGTCTCAATAAAGATAATACATTGTTACTATGTTTAAGTATGTGTACCTATCTGTGTTCATATCGAAACAAAATACGTAAGTAAGTAATACAACGTAAGCGTAGTGTTGATAAACCCATTTCTTCCTTGTAATTACATAAAAATAATAGTTTAAATCGTTCTATGAACAATTGTATATAATTATATATGAAGTGACTAAATATTTCGTAATATGCGTCAACTATTTTCACTGTTTAGTGGAATGGAGTAGTTTCAACAGCGTCATTATATTACTTCTGTCGTCCAGGAAGTTCTTTTATATCATTGGCATGGCTAATTAATGAGGGTTTCTGCTGGGAGTTCAAGGTGTGTAGACGCAACCGGGTGCAGGAAGGGGGCAAAGGGGGTTCTTTCTTCTTTTTTTTCGGGACAATTCACAAAACGCCATCTAATCAAGCTAAGCAGAGTTTGTGTTATGGGTACTAGACAACTGATATAAATACATGGATACATTTTTTTTGTAAATAAATACATATTATACATAGAAAACACCCAGACCGATACAAACAATCATACTCATGAATACAAATGTTTGTGCCGTGCGAGGAATCGAACCCATGACCATCGGATAGTAAAGCTAAACCACTAGACCACCGAGGCTGCCAGTAAGTTGTTAGTAATGTGGACTGATGATCTCATTGCTAGCAATGTACCATATCGGGTTGACCTCCACGCGGTTCCCCCTGGAAACCATCGTGATAAATTCTTGGTGAATTTGTCACGATGGGCTGACCTGACCTCATGGTCATCTTAACATTCTCCACTGGTACCCCGCCAGCGTAAACCGTTAGTGCAGGCGGGTACTCCATTCCATAAAAAAAAACCGGGTGCAAGATTCTGGGGGGTCGATTACTAGATATCGGGTTTTATTAACCTCTAAACTCATTTAATGTTAACATCATTGCACCGTTTCATACACTTTGTTACTATAAATGCAATATACATATTAAATAATATAAAAATATGTAATATAATATATTAAAATGTTGCAATTTGTTCCTGTATTTTTTTATATGTTTTTACTATGTATTGAGAAATTAATAAATAAAAAAGTACCTATATATGTTTTTTATGTACAGTAGGGGCTGATGGAATTATTTAGTAGATATATAGCAGCAAATATATTTTAATCTGGCTTGAATCACAGTTGCACGTTACACATAACTGTTACTGAGCTACAGGAATACTAAATTTAAATGTGATAGATTATACTTTTTATTCTAAAATCAATGTGCCTAATACGGTCCTTTAATCCATTACATTTAATACACTCTACATCTCTACATTTAAATAACATATATAATATAAAACAATACACAGAAGAGTAAACAATAGTAGCAAAAAACATATCCAAGATTAAATCTGCTAAAATACTAATTTCTATACAACATGGGGTTTTCAAGAAGGGTTTCTTAAGGGTCGGAAAAGCGCACTCAGGCCTATATATCCTGGTATATCATATGCTTGTTTGCCATCGTAATATAAAAAAAATACTTATATTGAGTTTATTTGAAAAAGATTATTTCTAACAGCAAAAATAATGTAGTCATTCGATACATTAGTAGAAGTTATGTATAGCCATTGTTATTTTAAAGACAAAGGTGTAGCATAAAAGGCGACGCATCGTATTAATTATACGTTGTTTGGTATGAAAACAATACCCACCTTTGTGGTGTTGGGCAAACATCAAGAGACACATTATTGTAACCATAAGGAGTGGTTTAATATGGTAGTGTTTAAAATTTAAATTAGCGGTTAATGGAACTGTATGATTAGGTGGTATTAACACAAATTTAAATTTAAAAATAATTTATTAATGTAAGACATTTTAGCCGCTTATGAACATCAAGTTTTTTGTAATTAATATTATTTTCACTACCGTCCAGTTCAATATACACATTCAATTGAGAAGAACTGGAAAGAAACTCAACTCAATTTCTACTTTTAAAAACCAATTATTTGCACTTTATGCTTATGTAAGTATATATGTCTGACATTAAACGAAAATCTCGTGCTACAACTATTGCCATGCACGTTAGTCATTTAAGTAAACGTCGTGAGTAATAGGCTTTGCTCAATAAACATGATTTAACAGATGTTTTAAATTTCAATGCATTCACCTAATAACATGATTTCCTGCTAGAAAGATATTAGCAAATACACATATTTGTGAAATAGTAATTATTTTTTTAAAGTACCTGCAGATTTAGTAATAAAGTGAACAACAAGCTAAAGACATGTAAAATACAGTATACTTATAAAACTGGACACACACTTTTCACTTTTCACAAAGAAACATGACAGAATTCTGAAAATAAATGTTGTAGTTTTCATATTAAATTCATCACATAGCCGCGCAGATTGTAATAAGAAAATGTTATAATAAAATACATTTAGTTTTTCCAAATTTGTTCAGTTGAATAGATTTGTTCAGTATCATGAACTACTAGTATTTACTTTGATAAACAGCATGCATGAGACGTCATACATTCAAGTTGATATACTTTTGCTGGTGTAGATTTTGTACAAAGAAGTCTTCGGTTTCACTTATTTCAGCTGCCTAACAGTTTACTGTTTAAAACATGGCAGTTTAATTACAAGAAACCATAACACCTTAGACCTGTCCCTTAAACAAACACACATTAAGTGCTACAACTTGGTAAAGTGGGGTGCCGCTTCAAGGGAGGCTTGTGACTGCGGAGATCCAGACTATGGCACACCTGCTGGCTTGTCCTTTGTGCCCAGCATCCTGCACAAAGGGGGACCTAAGGGATGCGACGGAGTGCGCAACGCGAAACGAAGAAGAAGAAGAAGAAGTGCTACAGAAGTGCTCTTTCGCAGTCTTTGTCTTTGACAGTCAGGGCTGCATTGAAGCTAAAGAAACGCTCACATAATCCTGGAATGCGTAGCAGTGACAACCCACACAAATTCTCAGAACGGTCAGGTCGCTCCGTGAAGTCTGTGAAGACACCAGGAAGCTTCTGCGCTGCTTGGAGGAGCTTGGCTGGCTACTTTAGTAATCTTGGCTTTACACGCACAACGCACAACCACCAAATGAGAGTGTAAATGCATAGAATAAAATTACATTTAACACCTACCATGTCAGTCACTTTTATATCTGTTTGAAAACTAATAATTTTATTTTACTATCATTTCACTTTATTTATTATTAAACTCGCTGGCTCTGGAGCAATTGATACACAAAGGACTAAAAACGCTGTTGACAATTCAATTAACCTCGCAGAATGAAATGACATTACTCTACATATCTACATGAGTGCTACGGCTCATATAACTTCATAGTAACTTCGAGCCGCACAGAGAAATACATAAAGGTTCTAAGTAGCTTAAGGCCTGCCGTGAGCCTGTAGCTCTAAATTTGAAAATGTAAATTTACACCCCTTGATTGGTAAATATTGCTGAACACCTTATTAATAATTGTGTAAGGTCTGCTCTGTGTACTTACCTGTATTTTGTAAATAAACATTAATTTCATTTAGCCTAACATACATTGTCATACAGTTACTCTTTAGTGCAATTTCCAGCTGGCATTTTGTTATAATATACTTCAACATTCGCGATAGAAAACAATGTTCAAATGAAATTATATTAAGATATGTTTATTCGTGTGCAGACTCTTGGATATATCAAATTTAATAACTTCTAATAATGTAAAAATAGTTGATAACTTTTGGCAATTATTCGACTCCCGCGATATAAGTTCGCCTAATGCGGTATTTAATATATAATCAGCTTTGTTATATTTGTAAAAATAAACAACTTAAAATAAAAATACAAATATTTTTAATAAAAATAAAAAATGATATATTTTTAAATGTATTTTACTAATAGTATCTTTACTGAATTATGTTTCTGTAAATGATCACCAAAAATCTTAGGTATACGCTTTCAATCTCACTTAGTTAATTCTTTTTTATGCCTATCCATTTCAGCCCCTAAGCAACTTTGCTTTATAAGTTGGGAGATTTAGTAGCGAAATCATTGTAAGTATACGACAGTAATATGGCAGGGTTTAAAGGCATAATATCTTAGTCCTTCAGAATGCCTACAAATGTTTACAACATTACACCAGAATGTCCGTGAACAGAAGGTTCAGGTATATGAGTGATGATTTCCTCTTATCATTAGGTGGAGTGTCAGCTTGTTTGCTATTCTATTTACAATAAAAACTTACTTTAACTACAAAAGAAATAAAGCAAAAATTGGCAAACCTGCAGAAAAATAATAAATGAAAAACGTATTGTAATTAAACATATAATCTTTCACATACACTCATTCTTTTATATTACAACACGGAAATTACTTATATTAACACTTACGTTATGATCACAATCAGTCTAGTTTTGCACTATCACGAACTATTTCCGAGACCCATATTCATTGCGTTTAGTATATCACCATTGTCCGCGTCAATTTCCCAAGCGAACAGACCACCAAGTTTATTATTTCTTACATACTTTCCTTTTTCTATAACAGATCTGGCGTCATCGTATGTTATTAGATCGCCAGTAGACGGCCTGAAGACGTAAGGTGCTTGGGCAACATTATCATAATGGTACTCCCATTTGCCTATAGCTATTTCATTAGCAATCTCTCTATAATCCACTACACCGTCTTGCCATGTGCCTTTTACGGGACCTGTGGCATTGCCTGTGAATGGAATATCGTTCTCGTAATCATGAACTCCAGTCCAACCTCGGCCGTACATGGCAACTCCAACAACGATCTTCTTGGGGCTCACTCCTTGAGCTAACAGGAATTTAACTCCAAAGTCGGTCGTGTATGTCTCCTTAGGACTCCATGAAGGTGCATATAAAGAGGTCTGGTGACCCAAAGTGTCATTGGACCAGGCTCCCTTAAAGTCGTAGCTCATTAAAAAGATATGGTCCATATATTTCTGAGCAGCGCTGTAGTCAACTACCTGAATCTTATCCCAACCGGCGCTGATAGCTGAAGTGAGTTCATATTTCTTGCCAGTTTCTATGGAAAGTGCATCCAACATTTCACGAAGTTCTTTCATGAGGAGTACGTAAACCTGACCATCTTTTGGACTACCAAGATCTGGATTAGCACCTTTACCTCCGGGAAATTCCCAGTCGATGTCAACACCATCGAAGAATTTCCAAGTCTCAAGGAAGTCTTTTACAGAAGCTACGAAACGGTCTCTCTTTGTTTTGTCGGTAAAGAAGAAGAACGGATCAGCAAGTGTCCATCCACCAACGGAAGGCAGAATTTTCAGATCGGGTCTAGCTTGCTTTAACATCATCAGCTGGCCAAAGTTACCCTTATAGGGTTCGTTCCACGAGGAAAGTCCCTTTTGTGGTTTCTGTAAAGCAGCCCATGGATCATGAATGGATACTTTGAAGTCCTCACGGCCGCTGCACGAACGCTGCAGAGCTTGGAAACTACCTTCGATTTCTTTCAAACTGTCGTTGATACCATCACCACCACAAATTGGAATGAAACCATATAACAAGTGAGTTAAGTTTGGAATTGGCACACGATCAACTGGGAACTTTCTGGGATAAACTCCCCATTCTACGAAGTACGCACCAACCACTTTTCCTGAGGTTTGCTTGAACAATTTATTTTTCTCTCCAACCGTAAAATCTAAAGGCGGTAAATGGCTACCATCTGTATCAGCTACTATAATCTCGGTGGGGTCGCTCGAGCTGCAGCCATCCTTGTTGCAGAGCTCAACCGTCATTTGGTACCTTCCGCCCTTCTTCACTTTGAAGGTCGCTGATCCGGACGCTCCGGCTGCACCAGTCCAATACTCCTTTCCATTAAGCAGGACCCTCGCCTTCTCAGCAGGATCTCCAGACCAAACATTCCATGTCACAGAAACGTCGGCGGCATCCTTCTTTTTGACGAGCTGGTTGTAAGCTGTAGCGGCCTGGTTGACTTCTATAATGGCGAAGGTGCGCTCACCCCAGCCAAGACTGGGTTTCCCTGGGGGCGCGCAGTCGGCGAAGGCGACCAGTCCCGCCGCGATGATCACAGCCCAAATGAGTCCCATGTCGGCTCTAGAAACAAAAAAGTACGGTGAGCCAAACCTCACAAAGAGGCGCCACGAACAAACTGGACTTGCATCTCAGTGTTATCTGTTATATATGGCGAGTTGTAGGCCAACCGCTACGAGATACCCGTATTGTGCGGAATGTCGGTGCTGGAATTATTTGAGCTTAATAAAATCGTTAGCACAGTTTTTTATCCCGGTCATGTTAGTGGGGCGGTCAAGGTGACAGATCAATTTAATTGTTTTTTAATTGTTTGTTTATATTCTGTTTTGTGTTATCTACTAAGTGTTTTTGTTGGAGAATGCCGCACCTATGATGCGTCAAGAGATACATTAACCTGTTTAGATAATGCGTTCGAGCTATGTTTGTATGGTAGCTTTGTATGTAAATAAAAAAGAATATTCATAATCCGAAATATTTAAATTTAGAACATGGTTATTTAAAAAAAATAAGTTATATGTAATTTATTTATATTTATACTATTTATTTATTTTTTATTACATATAAGTATTCATTGATACTGTAATTGATTTCTATATTATATTACTGATTGAAATTAATTTAAATAACAATGTAGAATTGATTTAAAAGTAAATATTATAACTTTTAAAAAGAAAAGAAAAGTACTTGAACTACAAACTAACATATTTTGTTTAATGTTTGACGACCTCGACGGTTCAACAGTTTTGCTTTTAATGATTGAGGGTTCGATTCCTCGCACCATGGAAACGTTTGTATTTATGATTATGATTGTTTCAATTGATCTGGGTGTTATGTGAAGGTAATAAACAGACAGATAGACTTTGTTTATTATGACAGTATGGATTTAAAGAGACACCACTATTACTAATATATATCATATAATTATAGGTTATCGTTATCTCATACATACTCAAGTAAACATCATACGAGTACTTAGATTTTCAAGATATACCTAGTTAGATTGTAATGATTAATACTATGACAATACCACAGATAAAATAATATTACATAAGTAATGATTCATACAACAAAACATTATCATACTGTAAATGTGGATGAACATCATTACATAGTATAAAATAAAGTCGCTGTCGCTGTTGTCCGTCCCTATGTATGCTTAAATCTTTAAAACTACACAACGGATTTTGAAGAGAATTTTTTTTAATAGATAGAGTGATTCAAGAGGAAGGTTTATATATATAATACATGTATACCCGTGCGAAACCGGGGCGATTGCTAGTCTCATATAAAATATATTTTTTTTAATTTATAAAACTAAATAAAATTTTATTGCATAAAATTAATATATAATGTATTCATAATATAGGCCATTAATAGCCTGAATTAAATAAATAAATAAAATAAAACGGTGCAATAAATGTATTTATTATTTCTTAATTATAAAATATTATTAAAATTATAAACACGAAATTTTGTGAGTATCGATCGAAGTTTGTTATTCTTTCACGCAAAAACTATAGAACGGATTTTGATGAAACTTTTCAGTAATATAGCTTATACATCACAATAATATACACACACACATGCGGAGGAAACCTCGGGACACAGCCAGTAAGAAAGATTTCATACATTTAGTAATTTCTGACATGTAACACACAATTATCAATATTAACTATTGATTAATTTGTTTATACAAATAATGATAATAATATTTAAAATGAATTTAATTAATTAAATTTAATGGCATTTTAAATGACAAAAGGGGCATGGCAATAGTGGTTCCTGCATGGGATTTTCATTTAATGTTATACTTAAACACTTATATAAGTGAACAATGTAAATAAAATAGCTTTAAAAAAATAAATTCAGTTGAGTTTCGTGACAATTCTTAATTAAATCTGTACACTAAACTGGACGGCAGAAACAAAATGTTAATACAAAAAACTTGACGTTCATAAGTGGCTAAAATGTTCTACATGAATAAATCATTTTTAATTTGATTTATACCTTTTTACGGGACGGAGATTGTTAATTCCTTGATTACTGTTATTATTAAAAAAAAATTTTAATACACTTTTTGTGAAGTTCGTTTAAATCTTCAGTGAAGCTGTAAAGGCCAGCTGCAGCCAACAGCATTAGAATAGTTCGAAACAAAAATACAGTTTTGATTGTAATAAACATGCTGTGCTGGAATGTCAACGCATGAGTGACATCGGTTGTCCTATGTAACATTTTTTTAATATTATGTTTAACGGCTCTGGATACAAGTCCTTTTTAGCCCAACTTTAACAAGAACACTAACTCGAAATTAAATATCATTATAAATTAACAAAATTAAAGTCAATGTCTAAAATATGTCAATTAGAACTGTTTCGCGAGACATTTCTCTTTTATTTTTATTATTATTGATGTTTTACGGCTCTGGATACTGTATATGTCCGTGGTGTTGTTATCTCATATCATGTTATATTCATTATCTAGACACGGTTACCACTAACCATCAAGTGTGCCATCAGCTTGTTTGCCATTCCTACTATATAAAAAACATATTTATGTACATTCATTTCATAATATCACAATATTGCATCGCCATGATAAAGCCCGCATATATAGAATGGAGACATTCTTCAACTCGCACAAAAATATTGGAAAATTTATGATGAATTAATTACCACTAGGTGTTAAGTCCGCCATATGTACTTTTAGCTCTATATTAAGTTCATTTTAATTATTATATAAATAAATATAGTTACTGTTGCTGGCAGCTTGTCTACCATTCTTTTTATAAACTTTATATTTTTATATCTATTTTTTATACGTCACTTTTGACTATCTATATTGTTTTGTTACTTCTTGCTGTGAGCCCTTTTGGGAAGAATACACATTTTTAGTAATATTTGATTTTTATTAAAATAATAGTTGTGTTCCCGCTCCAGTAACAGTTACTTTATGTATATTTATACACACATATAATTATGTTACAATTTTTAGCCCCTCCGATCGATCCCCCGTCCAATTCAAACGGGGATCGCAATTACGACGGCCTGAGTCGAGGTTCGGACCCCTAGAGGTGTCCTCAGACTAAAGTCTCCGCCGTCAGGCGGGAGTTTGCCTTCAGCCGCTCTATAAGTCCTTCCGCGGGTTTATTAGTTACTGCCATCTGCACTCGCCCCCTGTCGTCCAGTGAAGCTGTAAAGACCAGCTGCGGCCAACAGCATTAGAGTAGTCCGAAAATATTCAATTTTTACACTATTACAATTTTCAATTATGTTTAATAATTAATTAAAAATATACTTATATATATTACGATGCTTGCTAATTTCTAAGTTAGCCTTATTTATGACTGGTAGAACGGCCTTAGGTATTAAATTCGCTATATTATGTACTTACATTTATAAGTTAAGATGTCTGTGGTACCAGTACGGTACGGCACAGTACGGTACGGTACCAGTACGTAATATTATGTTATCTGTGGTACCACTAATCGGAATATGAAAATTGTTTTAGTGTTGGAAACGCCAATAATCGAAAAAGGCTTTATAATTTACGCTACGGCCAATAGGATCGGAACTCAATTGAAAATGTTTAAAAAACAGGAAAAATATGCGGCAGATGAAATATACATACAGTACATATTAAAATAGAATTAGTTACACAAAGAGACTAAACCCCAATGAAACCCAATGATCGTGAGTTCGATTACAGGCGACACCATAAAAGTTTGGGTCAATTGACATACTTGAAACTCAAATGATAAAAACCAATAATTATTACTTAATTCATATATATTTTTTAATATAAAAAAAATTCGTAGGTATACATAAAATATTCAATATCTTGACGATCGTTCCTAATATACATATCTGTATTCCAAATCTTTTTCTATATTTTCTTTTTACCAATATATGTACATATAAAATGAAAGTACAACAAGAAATTAAAGAAACTGTAAGAAATTACGACAAGCAAATGATATCCCGCTGAATTAAATTTTAACCGTAACAACAACCGTATCACTGTGAAAGTGGTGTCCCCGATTTTAAAGTAAATATTGTAAAATCAAGTAACGTGATATCTTCAACTCGGAAATTAGTAATATTTAACTAAACTAGAAGAAAGACTCTACGGCCTTGTGGTCTAGTGGTTTAGCACACTGCTTTCCTTCCGATGGTCGCAGGTTCGATTCCTCGCATAGCACAAGCTTTTTGTATTCATGAGTATGATTGTTTGACAGGTCTGGGTGTTTTCTATGTATATTATGTATGTATTAAAAAAATATATCTAAGTAGTTATATTAGTTATCTAGTACCCATAACATAAACTCTGCTTACCTTGGAACTAGATGGCGTTGAGAGTTATTATTGATGGATTTACCCAGGTATGTTATAAAGAGCACATTTTTGGTTTATAATGTAAGGTTTATAAATATCAGGAAATAAAATTATATACCATACAGTCTGGCCAGCCTCCACTTACGTATCATTATAAGTTACATATTCCATATATAATAAAAAAATGCATTTTCTTAAAAAAATATTTCACATTGATCTGATTGAAAGTGGAACCGGAATCAGTTATTAATACCATGGATTCCGGTTTTTATATCGGACATGATAATATAATTCCAATTTTCTGAATTTAATCATAGTATTCATTAATTTCAAAGATATTCTTTCAACCAAGTTACTCGGCAAACAAAAAAATTATCTCAAAAATATGTATAAAATTGTGAATATACTTCCCATATTGAACGGTAGGAAACATATGTATTTAAAATACAAACAAATTTCAATATTTTTCAATAATTAAAGAGTACCTATAGCGAATTAAATGAATCATTAATGCCGTAATATAATACTCTGAGGTTTTGCATTAAAACTGCAAAAAAACATAATTATTTGCAAATATACATTTAAAATTATTAAAAAAATGTGACATTTATGTGCAACTTATCTATACATATAAATAAAATTGCGAGTGTCTGTTTGTAATATTGAAATAACCGTTTTTTACTACATACATGCATATGAATATTAATAAGGTACGTACACCAAAATATTTTT